ATAACCATCAGACAGAGGGATGACTTTTGGCTGTCCACCTTGTTGGACCCTCGCTACCCGTTCAAAAATGGTGGCCTTTTTCACACCTGCTGAGAGGGAGGCCAAAATAAAGTACTATAAAAACCACCTATGTAGTCAGTTGGTCTCTGCCTTTCTGCGCCAACGTCCATCCTCAGACACTGTGGGCCCTGTGCGCTCGCGTTCCGCTGCCATGGCAGCAGGGGAGGGGTGGGGTGGTAGGAGCAGTGGCAGCTCCACCAGCAGCGGCTGCCTCAGTCTGCAGTCGATGATGAGTAGCTTTCTTCACCAGCGCAGTGAGGAAACTACTACTAACCAGCCGCAGCAGCAGCAGCAGCATCAGGTGTGGACCTGGAGCAGGACCTCAAACAACAGGCTTGGGCCTACTTGGACAGCACCCTGCCAACCGAGGTAGACAATCCGCTTGACTACTGGGCAACGAAACTTGACCTTTGGCCCCAACTAGCTGAATTTGCCCTTGAAAGGCTGTCATGCCCGGCCAGAGCGTGGCATCGGAGCGCGTGTTTAGTGCGGCAGGAGGTATTGTAACTCCGCGGAGGACACGACTGTCCACCCAAAGTGTGGAGAGACTCACGTTTGTGAAAATGAATCAGGCGTGGATTAGTCTGGATTTCAAACCACCAGTTTCCTGACACAACTGACCTAATAACCTAGCCGTTCAGCCGCTCCCTGAACACCTCGGGGAATTGCTTTTGTATATCTGTCGCCTTAGAGGCCGCTGTGTCTGAACAGCTCATGAATTGCTTTCTATATGTGTCGCCTTTGAGGCCGCTGGCTGGACAGCTGATGAATTGATTTGTATATATGTACTTATTGTCCGCTGTCCGGACAGCTCATGAATTACTTTTTGTATATAGCCTTCCAAACCACTCTCAGAATAAGTCATGATATTCATGCTGTGTATAGCCTTATAGGCCAATGGTCAATCAAGTCATGATTTGTTATAGTGTGTATAGCCTTATAGGCCGCTGTCTTTACAACTTTATAATTCCATGCAGTATATAGCCCTATCGGCCACTTTCTGGCATCCAGTTGCTGTAGCCCCCATCACCACACTGTGCCACGGGCCCCTGTACCGCCTTCTCATACTGCTGCCAGATCCATCCTCTGCCATGTGCGTCTTTGTCGTCTGCTCACGCTGCTGGGTTCCAGTTTTAAACCTAGGCCTGTGTATGGCTTCCGAATACTGCTGCCTCCACCGCCACCCTGCGCCATGTGCCTCTGTCGTCTGCTCACGCTGCTGACGGCTTCCGCTTTTTAACCTAGGCCTGTGTATGGCTTCCGAATACTGCTGCCTCCACCGCCCCCTGCGCCATGTGCCTCTGTCGTCTGCTCACGCTGCTGACGGCTTCCGCTTTTTAAACTAGTCCTGTGTATGGCTTCCGAATACTGCTGCCTCCCCACCGCCACCCTGCGCCATGTGCCACTTTCAGGTCTCCTTACACTGTTGGTGGGTTCCATTTTGTGATAGGGTGCTGTATGGCCTTCCATACTGCTGCCTCCACCGCCACCCTGCGCCATGTGCCTCTGTCGTCTGCTCACGCTGCTGACGGCTTCCGCTTTTTAACCGAGGCCTGTGTTTGGCTTCCGAATACTGCTGCATCCACCGCCACCCTGCGCCATGTGTCTCTGTCGTCTGCTCACGCTGCTGACGGCTTCCGCTTTTTAACCGAGGCCTGTGTTTGGCTTCCGAATACTGCTGCCTCCACCGCCACCCTGCGCCATGTGTCTTTCAGGTCTCCTTACACTGTTGCTGTGGGTTCGCTTTTTAACCTAGGGTGCTGTATGGCTTCCCATTACTGCTGCCTCCACCGCCACCCTGCGCCATGTGTCTCTGTCGTCTGCTCACGCTGCTGACGGCTTCCGCTTTTTAACCGAGGCCTGTGTTTGGCTTCCGAATACTGCTGCATCCACCGCCACCCTGCGCCATGTGTCTCTGTCGTCTGCTCACGCTGCTGACGGCTTTCGCTTTTTAACCGAGGCCTGTGTTTGGCTTCCGAATACTGCTGCCTCCACCGCCACCCTGCGCCATGTGCCACTTTCAGGTCTGCTTACACTGTTGGTGGGTTCCATTTTGTGAACGAGGCCTGTGCTGTATGGCCTTCCATTGCTGCTGCCTCCACCGCCACCCTGCGCCATGTGCCTCTGTCGTCTGCTCACGCTGCTGACGGCTTCCGCTTTTTAACCGAGGCCTGTGTTTGGCTTCCGAATACTGCTGCATCCACCCGCCACCCTGCGCCATGTGTCTCTGTCGTCTGCTCACGCTGCTGACGGCTTCCGCTTTTTTTTAACCGAGGCCTGTGTTTGGCTTCCGAATACTGCTGCATCCACCGCCACCCTGCGCCATGTGTCTCTGTCGTCTGCTCACGCTGCTGACGGCTTCCGCTTTTTTAACCTAGGCCTGTGTATGGCTTCCGAATACTGCTGCCTCCACCGCCACCCTGCGCCATGTGCCACTTTCAGGTCTCCTTACACGCTGTTGGTGGGTTCCATTTTGTGATAGGGTGCTGTATGGCCTTCCATTGCTGCTGCCTCCACCGCCACCCTGCGCCATGTGCCTCTGTCGTCTGCTCACGCTGCTGACGGCTTCCGCTTTTTAACCGAGGCCTGTGTTTGGCTTCCGAATACTGCTGCATCCACCGCCACCCTGCGCCATGTGTCTCTGTGTGTCTGCTCACGCTGCTGACGGCTTCCGCTTTTTAACCTAGGCCTGTGTATGGCTTCCGAATACTGCTGCCTCCACCGCCACCCTGCGCCATGTGCCACTTTCAGGTCTCCTTACACTGTTGGTGGGTTCCATTTTGTGATAGGGTGCTGTATGGCCTTCCATTGCTGCTGCCTCCACCGCCACCCTGCGCCATGTGCCTCTGTCGTCTGCTCACGCTGCTGACGGCTTCCGCTTTTTAACCGAGGCCTGTGTTTGGCTTCCGAATACTGCTGCATCCACCGCCACCCTGCGCCATGTGTCTCTGTCGTCTGCTCACGCTGCTGACGGCTTCCGCTTTTTAACCTAGGCCTGTGTATGGCTTCCGAATACTGCTGCCTCCACCGCCACCCTGCGCCATGTGCCTCTGTCGTCTGCTCACGCTGCTGACGGCTTCCGCTTTTTAAACTAGTCCTGTGTATGTCTTCCGAATACTGCTGCCTCCACCGCCACCCTGCGCCATGTGCCACTTTCAGGTCTCCTTACACTGTTGGTGGGTTCCATTTTGTGATAGGGTGCTGTATGGCCTTCCATTGCTGCTGCCTCCACCGCCACCCTGCGCCATGTGCCTCTGTCGTCTGCTCACGCTGCTGACGGCTTCCGCTTTTTAACCGAGGCCTGTGTTTGGCTTCCGAATACTGCTGCATCCACCGCCACCCTGCGCCATGTGTCTCTGTGTCTGCTCACGCTGCTGACGGCTTCCGCTTTTTAACCTAGGCCTGTGTATGGCTTCCGAATACTGCTGCCTCCACCGCCACCCTGCGCCATGTGCCACTTTCAGGTCTCCTTACACTGTTGGTGGGTTCCATTTTGTAATAGGGTGCTGTATGGCCTTCCATTGCTGCTGCTCCTCCACCGCCACCCTGCGCCATGTGCCTCTGTCGTCTGCTCACGCTGCTGACGGCTTCCGCTTTTTAACCGAGGCCTGTGTTTGGCTTCCGAATACTGCTGCATCCACCGCCACCCTGCGCCCATGTGTCTCTGTCGTCTGCTCACGCTGCTGACGGCTTCCGCTTTTTAACCTAGGCCTGTGTATGGCTTCCGAATACTGCTGCCTCCACCGCCACCCTGCGCGCCATGTGCCTCTGTCGTCTGCTCACGCTGCTGACGGCTTCCGCTTTTTAAACTAGTCCTGTGTATGTCTTCCGAATACTGCTGCCTCCACCGCCACCCTGCGCCATGTGCCCACTTTCAGGTCTCCTTACACTGTTGGTGGGCTTCCATTTTGTGATAGGGTGTGTATGGCCTTCCATGCTGCTGCCATCCACCTCCACCCTGCGCCATGTGCCTCTGTCGTCTGCTCACGCTGCTGACGGCTTCCGCTTTTTAACCGAGGCCTGTGTTGGCTTCCGAATACTGCTGCATCCACCGCCACCCTGCGCCATGTGTCTCTGTCGTCTGCTCACGCTGCTGGCGGCTTCCGCTTTTTAACCTAGGCCTTTGTATGGCTTCCGAATACTGCTGCCTCCACCGCCACCCTGCGCCATGTGCCTCTGTCGTCTGCTCACGCTGCTGACGGCTTCCGCTTTTTAACCTAGGCCTGTGTATGGCTTCCGAATACTGCTGCCTCCACACCGCCCCCCTGCGCCATGTGCCTCTGTCATCTGCTCACGCTGCTGACGGCTTTCCGCTTTTTAAACTAGTCCTGTGTATGGTCTTCCGATATACTGCTGCCTCCACCGCCACCCTGCGCCATGTGCCACTTTCAGGTCTCCTTACACTGTTGGTGGGTTCCATTTTGTGATAGGGTGCTGTATGGCCTTCCAATGCTGCTGCCTCCACCGCCACCCTGCGCCATGTGCCTCTGTTGTCTGCTCACGCTGCTGACGGCTTCCGCTTTTTAACCTAGGCCTGTGTATGGCTTCCGAATACTGCTGCCTCCACCGCCACCCTGCGCCATGTGCCTCTGTCGTCTGCTCACGCTGCGGACGGCTTCCGCTTTTTTTAAACTAGTCCTGTGTATGTCTTCCGAACACTGCTGCCTCCCACCGCCACCCTGCGCCATGTGCCACACTTCAGGTCTCCTTACACTGTTGGTGGGTTCCATTTTGTGATAGGGTGCTGTATGGCCTTCCATTGCTTCTGCCTCCACCGCCACCCTGCGCCATGTGCCTCTGTCGTCTGCTCACGCTGCTGACGGCTTCCGCTTTTTAACCGAGGTCTGTGTTTGGCTTCCGAATACTGCTGCATCCACCGCCACCCTGCGCCATGTGTCTCTGTCGTCTGCTCACGCTGCTGACGGCTTCCGCTTTTTAACCTAGGCCTGTGTATGGCCTTCAATTGAAGCTGCTTCTGCTCCGCCACTCTGCCATTGGACTCTTGATAGTCGTCTCCCCACGCTGCTGCTGGGGGGACTTTTTAACATAGGCCTCTGTATGGCCTTCAATTTTAGCTGCTTACGCTCCGCCACTCTGCCATGGGCCCCTGTACCGCCTCCTCTCATGCTGCTGCCAGGCCCGTAATCTGCCATGGGCCCCCGTACCGACTCCTCATGCTGCTGCCAGGCCCGTAATCTGTCATGGGCCCCTGTACCGCCTCCTCATGCTGCTGCCAGGTCCAGAGTGTGTCATGGGTCCCTGTACGGCCTCCCATTGCTGCTGTCTCCATCGCCACACTCTGCCATGTGCCACTTTCAGGTCTCCTCACACTGCTGGTGGGTTCCATTTTTTCATAGGGTGCTGTATGGCCTCCCATTGCTGCTGCCTCCACCGCCACACTGTGGCTCCACACTCTGGTTTTGGCCCCGTGACTGCCCAAATGAGTGAAGTGTGCGGTGATTCTAAGATCGACGGCACTCATCTGCATGTCATACTGACTGACAGTATTATTTCTCTTCCCCAGCAGACTCCAAGGGCATTTAAATTAAAGGTACAGTGTTCTGCACTAATATAAAGGCTCTCTGAAGCCTAGAAACACCCTTTTTATAAGTTAAATTCGCAGCGAATATATTCGGCACGAAGCGAATTTAATCGGCGAATTCGGCGAATCAGCCGAACCGAATTTTTGAATAATTCGCTCATCTCTATTCATAATATTATCCTATAAACCTGCTCTGTTTTTAACAGACTGTAATGTCATTACATTATGTTGTCCCTGCTTCCCTGATGTGCCTCCATGTCTGGATACCCACTCTGACGCAATTTGTTTCCTCCGATGACTAACTATAAAAAAACAGAAGCTTTCATGGCACTAATTGTAAGTGGATATTTGTTTAATTTACGTTTTTGTATGTAGAGAAATTTTAAATTTGTTTTCTTTTTGATTATTGTTGTTTTGGATTATATATATCAGCATATACAGGTCAACAACCAATTTTGTTTTATTATAGATGCACCTTTTCATAGCTCCTGAAGAAGTGACTGAAACATGTAGAGCCCATGTTCAGCTGAGTTTGTACTAGCTCCCTACTATGACAATACACCTGCGTTTTATCAATTACAAGATCATCTTAACCACCGATGATCCACATTTTGTACCAGTTAGGTTACAGTTGCAAGAAAAAGTATGTGAACCCCTTGGGATTACGTGGAGTTTTGCATGAATTGGGCATAAAATGTGCTCTGAACGTCATCTAAGTCACAACAATAGAAGAACACAGTCTGCTGAACATAATACTACACAAACATTAGATGTTGCCATGGTTTAATTGCACATAGTATGTAAACATTCACAGTACAGGGAGGAAAAAGTATGTGAACCTTTGGACTTAATAACTGGTTGACCCTCCTTTGGCAGCAATAACCTCAATCAAATGTTTCCTGTAGTTGCAGATCAGACCTGCACAACGATCTGGAGTCATTTTGGACCACTCCTCTTTACAAAACTGTTTCAGTGTAGCAATATTCTTGGGATGTCTGGTGTGAATCGCTCTCTTAAGGTCATGCCACAGCATTCCAATCGGGTCGAGGTCAGGACTCTGACTGGGCCACTCCAGAAGGCGTATTCTGTGCTGTTGCAGCCATTGTTTTGTTGAATTACTTGTATGCTTTGGATTATTGTCCTGTTGCATCGCCCATCCTCTGTGGAGCCTTTGTAACCTTTTCCAGCTTCATGCAAGTCAACAATTCTTGATCGTAGGTCTTCTGAGAGCTCTTTTCTGTGAGGCATGGTTCACATCAGACAGTGCTTCTTGAAACCAGTAAACCCAAAACAGGTGTGTGTTTTTTAAGGGCAGGACAGCTGTCAGCAACACATCCAATATCATCACACTGATTGGAGTCAAGGTTGGCTCACTCCTGGCTCCAATTAGCTCTGGGAGAAGTCATTAAGCTAGGGCCTCACATACTTTTTCCTCCCTGCACTGTGAATGTTTACATGTTATGTGCAATTAAACCATGGCAACATCTAATGCTTGTGTAGTATTGTGTTCAGCAGACTGTGTTCTTCTATTGTTGTGACTTAGATGACATTCAGAGCACATTTTATGCCCAATTCAGGCAAAACTCCACGTAATCCCAAGGGGTTCACATACTTTTTCTTGCAACTGTATATGGTCATTTAGGAGCCGTAGGATCTCAACTTTGAGGTGCAATTTGTTGTTTTTGTTAATTGATGTACTTATTCAGTATCATAATAATAAAGAGGGTCATAATAAAGAGTATGGAGATTTTATACAAAAATGATGTTTAAGTGCCTATAAAGTCCATTCAGTTCTAATACATTCTTGATAGTCTTTCCAGGATGTGACACAATGCATGAGTTTTGATCTATAGTACCACCCTATGGATATACCTCTAATCTATAGCCCTTAAAAGTGACTGAGCCTGCTCCGTGGCAAGGAGAGAGTTTGGGTGGAAGATGTGAAGAAGCTGAGATGCAGGAGCCTGGGAGGGGATGCAGTGGGAAGGGGCCTACATACAGGCAGGGCACTGGAAAGGAGGATCGCTCAGTCTCATAGGCCCTCAAAGCAAGGACCACCTGTAGAGCCAGGAAAGGAGCCAGTCCAGCAGAAGGCCTGAAGGCCTATCTAAATATGCTCGCAGGACTGATATTGAGTGAGTAGTCCTACACCCCCTGGGCCAGTTATGGGAAAAAGTGCACTCTGGTGGGAAACCTAATTAGCTTCTTACCCAGGAAATGTTTCAGTTAAGGTGGTAGGCACTGGATTTCCTTGCCCAGGGATTCCCTCAGGCAGCTGGATAAGAAGAGGATTATCTGGGGTCTGGGTGGTATGCCTGGAGAGACTGAAGAGCTCTCCAAGAAGAGTTTCTGCTGTGTAAAGACCTGTACACCCTTTACCCCATCCAAGTTCAACACCCCTTAATAAAGCATAAAACCAAGCTCAAGGACTGTTTTTGACTCTGAGGGCAAGTCTGTGGAGAATGCGTGTTGCCTGGCTGTGCAGGTCTATAAGGGGACCCATATCTTCAGCAACTCCTATGGGGGTAGTGCCATACAGGCATAGAGAAAACTGCACATTTATTGTAGATCTGTGGTCTCACACTGCTATTTATCCAGGAATAGAAAACTGCACACTCATAGTACCCTTGTAGGCCCAGACTGTGGTTTATCCAGGGATAGAAAACTGCATACCCCTGTGGGCTCATACCCAGGATATAACACTGCCCATTTATAATACAGCTGTGGGCTCATTTAGTCACCTGTCCAAGGCAAGCACAATGCCCTTAGCCAGTGAAAATAAGTTATATTCATTATAAAATGTGGAGTTTCTAAAAACATACTAAACAGATAAATCACATAATAATATGCCACTTATGTGAGTAACAATGCTTTTACAGTATTGCAAGGCTGATTAGCAAAGTTTTGTTACATTTTGTCAATATTCATCAGAAGATGACATAAAATTATGAAAGGTACTGCCTTTTTAGTGTTTCATCCAAGTCATCTAATTACTTATTAATTAATGAATGCTTATATAACTCCTCATGTTTTGTAAGATTAGCCCAAAGCTCTTAACAAGTTGTTACTGGAGTTTAATTTTGTTATTAGTTAATTAATGATCTAGGTCAGTTGCAAAGTCTAATAATGGAAAGGGTTAGCAATGAGACATGCAAGGAAGCTAAAGCCTCAAGTATGAGGGATGAAAGGATTTATATTGTATAACTAGTCTTTTGATCTGTAAATGTGAAGCTGTATGAACAAATATTCAAAGGATACCCATAATCCCACAAGTGCTTGGTTTATCAAATGCAAACAGTTAAAAGGCTATTTAAATGCAAAACTGAATTCTGTTTTATTAAAGAAAATGTAATGAGATATCCTACATCATTTTTTACTGCCTCCATTTCTTTTGTATTCTCCATAGATACAGAGCTGGTTTTGGACCATGTAAGCAAAAAGCACATTAGCCACCATGGTGAACTGCCATCTGGACTAAGCCGCACCAACCATCTCAGATATATTTCCATTTATGGTAAAATTCCAAAGCATGGAGACAGCTTCCAAAAGGTCTAACTGCATTGTTCTATGGATGACATAAACAGGAAGAGCTGGCCATTCAGGTCATAGAAGAAAATGCTAGGACTTCCACAACTGAGTTGGCTAATATGGAAAAAAAACTAAAAGGAAATACCCTTATTTTTTTGGGGTTTTATCACTCCATGCTGCAGGCATTTCAGGACTCAGAGAATGTCATGCTGGTAAAGCTGACTATACAGTACAGCAGAAGAATTTCATATTAAAATGTTAATTTCAAGAACATTCATTACATTTTCTAATCAATAGTGGGGTCAAATCAACAATCATTTTGACCTCGTGATAAGAAAATTCAAAGGAGCAGGATAGAAATATTTTCTCGAATGAATTTCTAACAGTGGTTTACATTAGTAGCATTAGACATTAGTCAAGCTGTCAACTGTACTGAGACTTTTTGTATGTAGCAGTGATTTATTTATTTTTGACATTTGACATGTAATAGTAACTAATAGTGATCTCTCTTCTCTCTAGCCCTGGACTGTATCACAGGTCTCTGTCTAACTTAAGTCCTCTGACACATCAGAGGCTGAGAAGGCACAAAAATCAGGGAGAACATTTTTATGTGCATTCTGAACATTCTGAACATTCAGTCATATAAGATACTGTATATAATCCATAATACAATTTGCACAGAAAAAGCAATGTAATGTAATGAGAGATTGCTTGTGGAACTAGCAACTAACATGTTGTTAGATTATTCTGAATTTGAATATTTGAATGCAGTGTTTAACCCCTTTCCACTCGGCCCGGAGTCCATTTAACAGGATCTTTACACCCAGGGGGCAGGAAGGATCAGCCAGTTACATGACCACAGTGATTGACTATCACAGTAGTCACATTATTTGGATCCAGCCCCACTGGCTCATGATTATTAGTACAGATAACAAGAGCTGTCTGTGACAGTTTGGTCACTGTCCTGGGAGTACATAGTGAGCACGCTCTCAGCACAGAAAGCTCTGACGCCCATGGGAACATATGTATGGCATAGGGGGTGTTAAAGTCCACCCTCTTTGCGGCCACAATTATGCTTTACATGAACGGCAAACGGTTAAATTGCATTTTATTAATAAAATTGTCAAAACAACAGGCACATCTCTCAGGATGTACAGCATGACATCATATATAAGTGCAATAAACAAACAGAAAAATATAATACAAAAATGTATCCCCAATGATAACATAACCAGAAAAAATAAAATTTTTTACACTTTTTCAATAATTTTTACTGAGGTTTTTTGTTGCATACACTTTCAAATATATGGGGAAG